CGAACTTCCAACATGGGAGTCCCTTGAGATAGTGGACCTCTACATATAGGACCGACGATACTCGCCCGATGGGTGTGGGTGTGGCATTCACATGATACAATGTATGGCCCCTCACTGTGCCTTCTTTAGGACATTTCTCAACCTGACTTCGGCATATACGGTATCAGGAGGGGCCCCGAATTCATGCTGCGAGGACTAGAAACCTTTTTTTCGTGACTTTGCCTTTAACACTTGCAATGACTAGTAATGAAAACAACTGCTCACGTCGACTCGCCTCCACCTCAATCAGCTCCATCTGAAACAAAGTAGTATAAAGGGATAGTCGTTACATTGAGATATCCAGCACAATCACAGAAGTAGAGGACCTCCAAGGGTTGCAGCCCTGCGGGTCTGCTGCCAGCACGACGGCACAAGACGATCGAAAATTCGACTGAATTGCGAATTTTTACTCAGAGTGGCCTGCGTTCCCGCGCCATCACGGATAGAGCATGCGGGGTCATGGCGACAGTTACCAGCAGGCGCCGACGCGCCCATGGTTTCTCATAGCGATCCTTGCATTCGCGACATTCCCGAAGAGAACCGGGGAGTAAGGAACCACCTACGGGCCGCGGTCTCAGACCCCCACCTGGAGGCCTAGCGCACGGCAGCTACATGGAACCACCTTGCCCTGAACCCGTCAGGGGAAAAATAGAAAATGTCGTTCTTTATATTGTTAACTGGTCCAGTGGCAGTCTAGAGAAGAAATTTGACCTCTATGCGTTAGTGATCGACAAATCGCAACTACTTTTCCAAAATTCTTATTGGGTTACTAATAAGAAGCAGCACTGATAAAACATGTTAGTATCACAAGAACAAAAACAAATGAAACGAGTTATTATGTAATAACAGCGAAGTAATGGATTAACGTGTATTGTACGGGTCATGACGTGAGGCATCGACGGAACTCATCAACAAAATCGAAAGCACAGTAAATAAACGACCGATACCCGAACGTCAAACTAAAACATCGAAAATTAAAAACAACGAATAGATTAGAAACAATGAAGCAAATTTAGGAATGAATTATGGGTCGTAAAAGATTGACGTAAAGATCTCGACATAGAACATGAACGACTGAAAGCCATGGCAACACCTGAGCAAGCAAGTCAAACCCTTCTGTCACTCTAGCTCACCTTCTGGCCTCGCCTCCTGTGTCGTCTGAGCGATTCGTCAACCTGTATGTATTAATAGAATATATCGGGTTAGTAGATGGTTTTTGGCTGGCACAGCCCGGAATCACCCAGACAACAGAAAAACAGACAACAATTTTTTTTCAAAACAACAAAAAAACAACAGAACCGACGTACGAAATGGCGCACAAAAAACACTATGGAGATGTAGATGGCCGTGAGGACGGCTTCACAAAGCACCGAAAAAAAGAGGCTCAGGTCGGGATCGACAAGGGGGTTTGAATCTCGGAGAGCAGCCCAAACAGAATCAAAAGAGTCGCCGGTTCTAGCGTCAAGGGTTTATATATAGGCGCCCTTATCGATGTGGAGTCATGAGGAAGTAAAAGCGCGGGAACGTGGCATTGACGAACAAGGCGTTAGGGTCATCAGTAGTGTGATGCGTTACTCTAGGTGTATTAACGCGCAATCGTCACCCGAGTCGTCGAGATCGTAGTGTGAATTACTCTATTTGCAATATAAATCCTAAACCAAACTATTCTATCGTGCGACTGAGTCAAAGATTTGGATTACTGGATTATGGAGACACATGGAATATTTTGTATTATTCGAAATGTATTACACTATCTCCGTGTATTACCTATAGTGTATTACACTGTCTCCATGTATAATACTATTTAACATGTATTATACTACCAGTTTGGCTATGCACGCTAACGCGTGCAGTATATGTCGACGGCCACTTAACCACGATCGTCATTCAGCAGAACTTTGGATAATCAGAATAAGACAGTTCTCTCTAGATTCGAACGCTGAACTGCTGAGAGCATCACGCTCGATGTATTTGAGCAGCCCATTACCTCTAACCACTTTTTTCCCGCATGAGGGGAGCGGCGCGATAGGTTTGAGAGTCCGAGCGATAAAAGAAGGCTTCCGGGGTCAGGCTAGTTCGAAAATGGCGAACCAGGATAGACGGCCATCACAGGTGACCTGTGGTGGCCCTCCTTTTTACATATGCTACAGGAACCCTTGCGAATGCATGCTCCGCAATGCTCTTGATACAGTTGCAACAAATTCCAAAGCTCGCTGCTCGATGAGCCCTGAGGTATGGATACCGGTCGCAATCAGAGCCGAAGTGCGCTTCTGAACGGCATAGGGCGCCAGCCTTGACATCCTCTGGTGGAGCGGAGCGCATCGGAAACCTGGAATGTGTATAAGGTTGGGTCGGGGCTTGCTCTACCGATCGTTGTGATGAACTACGACTGGCTGGTCCGGATCGTATGTCATAACCCGGTCCTGCAGCATTCTGCTGCCTTGGAGTATACTCACGGGGTCGTACATGTGGAATAGTAGTGGTTCTGTATTACTCGACCCGCTTGAGAGTTAGGGCGACGGGCTTCCTCTTGTAGGCGTCTGTATAAGGTGGACGTCTACAGATATTCGTCCGTAGTCCTGATCATTGATGCCTCTGAATAGTTGTCGCGCCAACACCGAAGGATCTGTATGTAAGTTTCAAGCTCCCCAGACCATGGGGGGACTGTGGCGGCTCGTGAACCTTCATGAAGTGAACAATATGATGAGTTTCCAGTACTGTGATCATCCGCGTGGCGTGTGCGGTAACTGTTAAACTGTGCTGTAACAACTCTGTACAGGTATCTTCTGTGATACCGAAGACTTGCAAAGTGTGTCTAAAATAAGCTTGCTCTCGATTGCTCTGGAATGATCTAGCCAAAATGACTACTTGTAATAAGTCTCTATTATAACATTAATCGATGCAATTCCATGAGTTTACTCATGAATCCATCCCATAAGATGCGTGTATCGTATATCCAGATGCTGATTCCTGATCAGGATGACCGCAAGATCATGGAACGATTGCGTAGTACATCGCGCTAGGTCTAACAATGTTTGGAGTATGTGAGGTATATGTCATACTTCTGAGAGTCTGAGGGTTGCGCTGGTGTAGTATCTCTACCTGGAATCTCAATATTACGGGTGCGATCCACCAGGATATATTTGTTGTGTTATAATCGAACACTGTGCGAAATTGACGTGCCGTCAGTTCTTCAACAATATAGGCTCGATCGTGAATGTACTATGTGGCGTCACCTTTGGCTTGGCAATGGAAATAGGTGCCGGATTAGGCGTAAGATGTCCGAGAGAATCCCCGACCTCCCTGCTTGTCCTTTCCAATTCGTTCAAAAATTGTACTATTCCTTCATCGTATTAAGATGACTGTTTTGTATTAGTCTCAGCCGCAACCTGCTGAACCGGAACTCTCGATTTGGGGTTCTATAAATGGCGACGAACAAGCTGAATTAAGGTCATTCACCTGGCGTGTCGGAGCATCAAGAGCATGAGCTGGACTGACAGAGTATGATTGATTGTGTTGTAATGTCTTGGATTAGAAAATGGAAGAATAGCTCTACGTCTGAACTTTCTCCGATTCCAACCACAGGATCCACAGGTAAAACTTTGTAGACTCCTCCTGCTTCTACTGGTCTCAGACGGGCGACTCAACGCGAGTTTAATTCTTTATAAATGAGCATGAATGTTAGTAGAGTCTGAGCGAGATACTTGATTAGTTTGCGACAATTAATACACGAAAAGCGCGAAAACGAAAAAATAAAATAAACGACAAAATGGAAGATGAACTAAATAGAAACATCAACAGATAAATAAACGACAGCCTGCGAAAAGGTTAATTCTACTTTTAATTGATTCTGGGGTCCTGTAGTAGTCCCTACTCAGTGTCGATTGCCTATGCTATTGCTGCTATATTTTGCCGGCACTTAACCCGATTCATGGCGTCAATTTATGTTTTTAGATGTATTGCAGGGACAGCAGAATGTGCACTGGACTAGATAGAGGTGGAGCCCCTTAGTCGTAAACCCATCTGTTTACACCATTATCGCTCTTCAGCACCAGTGCACTCTTTTCTCCTACTATGATCTTCTGGTCTCTACTATTGGTACTGAATTCACCCTAGTGTGTTGGCTAGATGACCTTTGATCAATCGATTCGTGCCCAACGCTGCACTGCGTTCTAACCTCTCGATCAGCTCATCAGGATCACCTCGTAGTCGCAAAGCAAGTATTATATGTGTCGTCTTAAGTTCGGTGTTACTTCACCTGAAACTCCTGTGACGATCGGAACAACCTCAACCCATTTGTGGTCCTTCTGAAGGACGGATTTTTGATTGGGACGAGGATCGAAACCATCCGACCCATTTTCTTCAGTTCACTCTCAGTTTTACTGTTCACTGCATACTTATCGAGCTTCGCTGTTCTTGAGTGAGGAGACGGCTGAACCATGAGACCGAAATCTCAATGATCCAGATCATTTTATCTCGCTTGTCCCACACAAGGATGTCGGGACTATCATGTTTAAGATTATCACTCGTGACGATCCTGCCGTTCCATTGAATCACTACATCTCCGGCCTCCACGGTATGTGGACGATGGGTGTTCACAACAGCAGTGATTCCGTACTTTTTCCTAATGGAGTGGTTGTCCACAAGCAGCCCTTGCGTGAGGTCGCTTCGCTTTGAGCGTTTGGCTCGTTTGGCTCTGCTACCACATTGGCAAGATTTTGTTGCCCTAAAGAGGGCAGTTGGGAAGTCCTTCCCCGGACAAGGTCCAGAGGAGGGCCATTATGAATTAGCCCCAAAGAGGGCAGTTGGGAGGTCCTTGCCCCCGGCAAGCCTGTGGGTGAACTCCTGGAATGGGTCCCACCTCTATGGGTGGGTTTGGTCATTCTGCGCGTAACTAGCATTCCGTGCGCTGATCGTATTTAGCCGTGCAGAGCAACGTTTTCCGGACGTTGGACCGTCCTCTAGTAGAGGAAACGAGGTGCAAGAGCAATGAGAATCACCCCTTTACGATCCTTCCCATCATCCTGGGGAACGGGCTTGCCATAGCCTAGGGAGCAGCAGGACACTATGTGCTCTGCTGTTTCTCTCATTGGGCACCCCATACGACAATTAACGGGAGTCTGTTCCGCTCGTCGCGAGGCACTCGCTCTAGTGAGTAACGAACCTTCCTGAACGGCCCACACATTCCTGAGGACTTCGGATGAGACCCAGCCTTTGCTCGACCATAGGAACGAATCCTTTGGGCAGAGTCGCTGTGAAACTCCCATGCCCTGTAGTACTCTGCTCGCCACTTGCCTCTCCTTCCAGTTTGCTAAGTGGGTATCAGCCAACCGCTCCCGTATAAGAGAGGAAATGGCTCGCGCGGCACCGGTAGCAGTTTCATAACTGCGACCATTCACCTCTATAAACGTTAATATCGTTCTAGTCACCTTTCCTTGGAGACCGTTGGCTGCAATTACGGCTCGAAAATTCGTTGTTAGTGACCGTTTATTGCTAGCTCGCAGACTCTCGGCTAGCTGATAGGGGACTATGAAGTCCGGGTTGGAGGCTAGGTAACACCACGTATAAACGATTGAGTGATCTAGTTCCTCTTCTGCAGACTTGAGTCCTAATCCACCTATCTCTTTGACATAAAGTCTTGCAAAGCAGCTGCCAGTGAACCTCATATGGGTATCCACCAACAGCTTCCTCACACGTATGTAAAATGCCCGTGCTTGCTTCCGAAGCGAGCACGAAAGCCCAGCTCCGAATATGACACATGACATGGCATATTTAATTTGGGAATCACCGTCTGGTTGTATCCTGCAACCTTCTGATTGACTGTCAGTCCGCTGCTCATGATACGTACAACGGTTTTCCAAGCATTCTTCTGGACTCTGGGCCACACCTGTCTCATCGAAACCAGTGCACCCTGTTCCATGCCCAGATATTTATAGAAGGAGTTAGACCCTAGAAGAGAGATATCCCCCATTCCTGTCTGCTCCCCTGCAGTGGTGTTGAGTGTTTTAACCGCGCACTTGCCCGGATTCATCTTCAACCCCAACTGCTCTGCTACTCGCTGGATACCAACTTTGGCTTTAACCAAGTCTTCTCAACTCGTAGTGTAAACCTTGAGGTCGTCCATATAGAATATACGGCTCACTTCAAGCCTACCTTCAGATCTGGCTCCATCGCCAGTGCGAGTTCGGTATGGCTCAATATTCGAGCGTAACGAGCCAGATATGGGCGCTATGGCGAGACAGAAAAGCAGCGGACTCAGAGTGTCGCCCTACATGAGTCCATTCCTCACGTCTAGCGGAGCACTATTCACCGCCTTTCCGTATTGAAAGCCACAGTACCTGACGCTTCGTTTGGACATTACCTTATATAACAGTGTTCGGATGGCCATCGGCACATCCCATTGTTTTAAGGTCCAACGCACAGCGCCGTGTGATACAGAGTCACAAGTACACATGCTTTGGGTGGATAAGACCAAAGCACAGAGTGCTTTGGTCTTATCCACCCAAAGCATGTGCAACTCCGCTTTATGCTTAATAGCATCTCTGCATACTGTTTGATCTAGTATGTGCGCATGTGTGCATCCCCGTACTCCACGCCTTAGGGCGACCTGCTCCGAGGCAACCGTTCACTCACGCACGCTGAGATTGGCAATCATGGCTGTGAGAACCTTATAGCATGTATTCAAACATGCTATAGGCCGAAAATCTCCGGGACCTACGGCCCCTGATTTTCCTTTCGGGATCAGTACTACTCTGCTCTCTGCAGAGCCACCTCGGGATCCTTTCCTTACGCTTGTGCAGTACTCTAAGGCACCACTCTTTGAGGCGTTCCTTAGCTGCTGGGAGGTACTTCCACCAGAAGCCTTGGATTCCATCCGGACCCGTAGCCTTCCAGGGTTTGACACTGGAAAACAACGTTTTCCAGTATTCCTCTGTCAGGTTGATGCCCGTATGGGTATTTCGCAGCTGCCTGTGGGCTCGCGACCACGCCGCTAGCTCCACGGTTTCAGTGAACGGTTTAACCTCGCCTACAATAGGCTTCCAGTACTCTCGTACTTGGTCCACCGGCACATTATCCCCTTGCAGACGGGGCTCTCGTGCGACACAGTGGGGGGGGGGCCTGCGCCTCACCAGGAAGCGTCTCTTGCGTCTTCCATTTCCTTTATGTCCATTTGAAATATGTTCAATTCATCCTTGAGACTAATCAGGAGCCTTTGAACCTCGGAAGTTCTGGACACCTTGTACAGTCTGGCAACTTCAAGGCATTTAGGCCTCGCTCTACCTCGCCCACCTCGTCCATTGCCATTAATACTTCTTCTAAGGAGCTCTGCAGCCAATGTGGATATGAAGCTGATCTGGGTACTCCTTAGCTGAGTAGCTTCGCGGAAGCTCTCTTTACCAGGCATCAGCCTCTCGCTGGCTTCTTCTACAGCTTTGGCACTTATAGCTCTAGCTATTGCGTACACTGCTGCATTCAAAGATGTCGGGTTTTTCGAACCTGCTCGCTGAAGTTCTTCAACGAGAATTTCATTTCCAACCTGTAGGAAGGCATCAGGGATTTCTCTTCTGGGACTCACCATAGGTTGTCTATCTTGTGTTGAGATAGCCATACGGTAATATTTACGAAACCTCGCAGATAAATCCGCTTTGAGATCGCTATCACCGTTCCCGCTCTCTTCGCGGGCTTCTTGAGATGCCTCCTGGCTAGCTTCGGGCTCAGGCCCGTTCCTTGCTCTTGAGATATCTCGTAGGCCTTCTTGCCCATCCTGTTCGATGAGCTGTGACCCTTCTTCCGAAGCGGCTGCTTGCACCTGATTGGCATGTGCAGCGTTTGCACCAACAACTTGCCCAGAACATCTGGCAAGTTTAGCGTAAGCTCCCTTCAAGGCGTACACTGACCTTGAGGGCTCATTATTGCCGCGTAGACGTTCCCAGACCGGAGCCAGGTCTCGCCATCTGGTGCGGCCGCCTGCGTCCCTATATCTTCGGACAAGTTCGGCAAGCTTATTCAACTAGCAACATCATCATGTCTTCCGACCATGATGTCCGTTCGCCAGTGAGCACAAGCAGACGCTGTATGCTCGGCTGTTCCGTTGTAAGGCCCACAGTGCATTCTACAGAAACCCCCTGTAGTGGGTCTCAGCGCTCGCATAGCGGCGCTACATGCGATTAAGAGTGAGGCCTCTTGTGCGCCCCAGACGTTCCTAAGTACTTCAGATGATACCCAACCATTAGCGGACCAGAGAAACGAATCCTTTAAGCATAGCTCAGTCGGACAAGATCTTCCGCATGATCCTGCAATATTCGTCCAGCTACATCCTTGCTTTTTCATTCACTTAGATGCATTTTCATCCATCTCTCGTGGATCTGCATAGATGTAGCACGTGCAGCCTCAGTAGCGTTATAGAACGTGTGGGGCGGAAATCTGAAGGTTCAAGTGTGTTAGGGTTTCCTTTCCTCTTGGGTATGAGAACAACCCTTCCCTTACAAAGCCAGGTTGGGATTGAATCTCGAGGCCGCCGCATGGCGCGTTTGCACCATCTAGTCAGCTGCAGCCTTGCTTCAGGAAGGTGTTTCCACCAAATCCTCAGTCAGCTCGCCAGACATAAGAGGAGTTTTTCAAGGTAGCATACTAACGTCTCCGACCACTCTTTCAGCTCTGGGCTTACTTCGAATGACTTCTGAACGCCGACAATAGGTAACCAGTATTGGAATACTGGCAACAGGCACCTCAGTCGGACGGACGGAGTCTCCACGAACCACAAATGAGACAGCTTTTTGTCGTAACAGTCTTCGCTGTTGTGCCTCTTGCAGTTTTCTTATTTCGAGCTGCGTCACATTGAGTTGGTCCTTAAGTCTCCTCCAGACACGCCCCAACTCTCCGCGACGTTTCAATCCATATGCATCAGCTACTTGGAGGTAGTTCCTACTCGCGCCTGATACAGGCTCCTTCTTTCGCTTCCGCAGTTTTCTACGCTTGAGGATCTCGTTTGTCAGCACTGAGATAGTACTGATCTGCGTTCTTCGCTGATCCTCCAGTTCCTTAAGGCGGCGTTTGGGGTCATCGGTGAAGCGTTCTTGCCTTAGCTTTTCAACTGTTGCAGCAATAGCGCGAGCTATTGCGTACACTGCAACATTCATGACCAAAATCCAGCTTCTCCCGTTTGAGACGTGCCGGTACTCGCTAAGCGTGCGGGCAAGAATTTCATTACCTTTCTCCAGAAGGGCCCGTTGAATTTTACCAAAGGGCTTTCTGACCGGGCGCCTATCATGGAAACTAATGACGTAACTATTGTAGACTTTGACCACTGGTTTAGCAGGTCCCTGAGGTTCGGCTCCACTCTAGCCGTTTCAATAGTCTCTGAAGATTCCAGTTGACCAACATCCGCAGTAGAGTCCTCGTGGGTTGGAATTTCCCGCTCCTGGAGTATCTCTTCATGAGCAGTTCCACGTGGTACATTAGCTCCACGCTTTGCCGCCCCTTCAGATACGCAGACCGCAGGATAGCTGCACTACGATGCACTTCATCTAGCTTTCGCGAATGTTCCCAAGCCGCGGCAAGGGAAGTCTAACTGATCTTAAAATTCCGTCGATAAATATCGACGAAATCTCGGGGTTTTTGCAGGTCGTAAGCGACAAACAAGTTCCTCCTCTTCCTCGCCTGTAGGGCGTCGTGCCCGTAACCAGGGTCTTGGGAATCAGAGGGACAGCCAATCAATTTTGCGCTCAGTCTGCTGCCGGCACGGCGGCACAAGACGATCGAAGAAGTTGACTGTATTGCGAACTTTGTACTCCGAGTGGCCTTGACTGCAACGTGCGTTCCCGCGCGATCACAGATAGAGCACGCGGGATCACGGCGACAATTACCCGCAGGCGCCGATGCGCCCATGATTTCTCATAGCAATCCTTGCATTCGCGACAGATGCACTTCATCTGATTTTCGCGAGCGTTCTCGGTCCGCAGCGAGGGACGTCCAGGAGATCGTATTATTTCGACGACAGATATCGATGACATCGCGCAGCTTCTGCAGATGGCAAGCGGTCCACAGATTCCCCCTCTTCCCTGCCCGTAGAGCGTACTGCTCGTTGACGGTGTCTTGGTAATAGGAGGGATGGTCACGCGTTCATATGTGTCCACATATCTCGCAGCCACATAAATGTCTATGAACGCTCGTCGTATGTCGGCCGCGCTTCTGTCGGAAACCAATCAGCATCAACCAATCGGCATCGGCATGTAGGTGTTCCTCTATGACCACAATAAGTCGCATCTTACCACTGATATTAATTTTATTTATTTGCGCATGAATGGTAACTGAACACTGCCCCTAGTAGAGCTACATCACGCACTAGCAGGACAAGTCTTGCCTTTCCTTTGTTGTGATTGCATGCAATCTATTTCTATGCATACATGTCATTATTAGCCAGGTGACATTTTATTATTTTACTGGTCTCAGCACGGCGCACTTGTGCACCATTCTAACGATTGCTGTGTCGCCATCTGGAAAATCCAGCAATCTGACGTATCCTGGCGAGTCGGGTGAGCATTCGCCACTCGTTCCTATAACGATAGGCACGAGTTTCACTCTCATTCCGTGCTGCGCCTGTAGTGCTGCCTTCAGATTTGGTCCGGGATAGAAATCGCCGGGATCCGTATCTTCCGGTATGCAACTATTCAGAGCGTATTTTTTTGGACCTTTTTTTCTTTTCCTGCCGGAAATTCTTGTGAACCACGAGACCGAGATCTTTATAGTCTGATCCATATAGTTCTCTCTTTCAGGTCCCTGACTAGTATGCCAGGTCTATCGTGCCGCAAGCTCTCACTCGTCAATATGCGGTCACTATGTGTTCGGCCGTTTCCTTCTCAGGGCATCGCATGCAGTACAGCTGATCGCTGTTCGACATTATTGATTGGCCTGACGCACTGCCTTTGACAACGGACCTTCTTGTGCAGCCCACGCGTTTCGCAACACTGTCGAGGACACCCATCCTGTCTGCGACCACAGGAACGAATCCTTGTGATAGACGAACGGGAGTCCAGTGTTCTCATTGCTACTTAACACTCGACTCGCTACCTGCCTCTGCAACCATTCATGCATTCGTGTATTCGCCCATCGTTCATGAGCGAGGGTCGACATTGCACGTACAACACTTGTAGCTGTCACGTGAATTTTTTTCCTCACACAAATGGTAGACTGAGTAGGGCGAGTTATTTGATTCTCCAATCTGCTTTCTGTTATAACAGAAAGGAAGTCAGAGATGAGTGATCGCTTGCTGCTGCTTTTTAAACTTTCACATGGATGGTAGGGTACCTGGAAGTCTGGATGGAATGCTAGATAGCACCATGTATATACAATGGTGTGTTCCATCTCGTCCTTCACAGACTTTAATCCCAGTCTACCATGTTCTTTATTAACATACAATCTTGCCACGCAGCTGTGTCCGAATCGCACGTGCGTTTCGGCCAGCAGCTTGCGTATGGCTTTATCAAACTCTCTAGCCTGCTTTCTCATTGTGCAAAATCTTCCGGTCCATGGATAATGCACGAGATCGCATATTTAAGCTTTGGGATTACGATCAGGTTATATCCATTGACCTTCTGGCGAACCGCAAGATTGCTGAGCATAATCGTTCTCGCTGTAGCTATTGCATTCGTTCTAACACGCAATCACAATTGATCCCAACTAATTAGAGAAGCTTGTTCTGCTCCTAAATATTTGTAGAGCGAAGTTGACCATAGTACAGGTATGTCATCCATACTAGGTGTCATTTCATTTGGGCGAGGCTGGTTCAGTGAATTCACAGCGCGCTTGCTGGGATTCAGCCGAAGTTCTAGCTCTCCTGCCACTTTTTGTATGCCTTTTTTGGCTTTAACCATATCATCCCAACTGGGTGAGCAGACCTTCAGATTCATCCATATAGAAAATATGGTTGATTGTAAGAGGTTCGCATGCTAGTGTTAGTGCTCCTGTGGAAGTTCGGTACGGGGTAACGTTATTGCGCAGACACGATGATATAGGAGCAATCGCCATGCAGAAGAGAAGTGGACTCAAGGTATCACCTTGCATCACACCCCTCTTAACCTCTAGAGGTTCACTTTTGACCAGTTTTCCGTTCTGATATCCACAATACCGGACTCTTTGTTTTGTCAAGATAACTGATAGAAGCATTCTCGTTAGAGGTAGAACTCCAGCTCTCTTCAGAACCCATTCAATAGCGAAGTGGCATACAGAATCGAATGCTTTCGTCATATCCACCCATAAGATATGTAATTTGTTTTTGCGCCTTGAGGCGTCCTTACAGATTGTCTGATCCAATATATGCGTAGGATCTGTTTCTCAATCATAGCTGTTAGCACTTTATAGCATGTGTTCAAACATGCTATGGGTCGGAAATCTCCTGGGCTGCGGGCCTCAGAGTTTCCTTTCGGAATCAGAACGATCTTTCCTCTACATACCCAATTTGGGATTATTCTATGTGGCTTGCGTAGTGCTTCTAGGCACCACTCTTTTAGCCTTTCTCTGGCTTCTGGCAGCTTTTTCCACCAGAACCCTTGTATTCCTCGGGATCTGTAGCTTTCCAGGGCTTAAACTTCGAGAAAATCTTTGCCCATGTTTCGTCGCCCAGGTCTCCAACATCTCCGCTATACGTTGCTGCTCTCGTAAACACCGCAGGGCTTGTTTTTTGGTTCTATGTCAGAAGTTACGATCTTCAGCTCATCCTTGAATCTAACCAGGAGTCGCTGGACCTTTACGGTCGTCGTAACACTGTGTAATTTTGCAATTTCGAGGTACTGTTTAGATGGAGCACCCCTATTGTTGCAGACCTTCTTTTGAGTTCGTGCGAGAGGATAGATGGTTCTTATCAACGCTTCTCTCAATACCCTCGCTTCCCTGAGTTTTTGGCATTTCTTACTCACTTTTTCGGCAGCATCATCCAGCAGTACACTAGTGATTGCTTCGCCTGTAGCATACACCGCAGCGTCCAACGCTGTGAAAGTACGCTTGTTGGTGGCGTTCCTGCACCCCAGCTTCTCCCTTAGGATTTGATGGACTACCATCACTGATGGATTGTCGACGAAAAACCTCGCTTCCGAGGTCCTCATTTTGCTGATATACGTGAGCCTCCATGTGACTGCCCACTTGCGGACAGCTTTGGAGGCTCGAACTTCTGGGATCAGCTAACTCATCAGAGTCTGCACTATGGTTAGTGTGTCTAATCTTCTCAGACAGTTTCGCATGGGCAGCTTTCAGAGCCAACATCGTTCTTTTGGGGTCTTATGTGCTTCGCAAGCTTTCCCAGGTAGAGACCAGTTCAGCCCACTGCACACCCTCGTTGGCTGCCCTGTGTCTTTCAACCAGATTGGCCAGTTTACCAAGCTCGCTTTCAGTCCAGGTGGCACGCTTCCTCTGCGGAAGTTCTATTTCGTGAGCGCTTCTCGCACTCGCTGTTTCACAAGCGCCACTGGTGGAAGCGATGAGTGCCTGTGGGGCCGTAGTAACGCCGTTGCTCATTGCTGAGTCATTGGCACAGTTGGTATTCATTCGCCTTGCAGACACTCTGCTTGGTCGACGGTCCACCGAGCTAAGATCGTTGGGGTTTTCCTCAACGCATGCCACGCTGTGCACTTCTTCACGTTGAGTACTCACCCCGGATGTTCTTACGGAGGTTTTAATAAGTCTCCCATAAGCTGCTCGAAGGGATTCCGCCGTTCATAATGGGTCGTCATGCTTATTAGTGGAAGAGAACTCTCGCATCGAAACAGTCCACTGCACGCGACCCCTGGCTGTCCTGTGCCTTTTGGCCAGGTTCGCCAGTTTTTCTAATTCTTGCTTTGACCAGGCTACGGTCTTACTCCGATAGAGTCTTGGCTTTGAGCGTTGGGCTCGTTCAGCCTTGTAGAACCACTCCTGAAAATAAATTCATGCTCTAACAAAGGATCGTTCTCTTGGCTGGGATCTCCGGGTCTTTCCAGCTCCTGAGAACCTGACCTGGAATTATTATTATAAAAAGAGAAAGAAAATTTAAAAAAGCGCTCTGAAGAGAGCGCGGGGGCCCACCTGGTCCTGGGAACCAGAGATGGGGAGCAGGGGATTGTTTTCTCTGTTTTGTTTCTTCGTAGCAAGAGTTCGTTTTACAGATGAAGGGGTGCTAGCCCGACATCCAACCCTCCTCCTTCTACAGCTAGGCTTGGGACAAGCCAAGGCGGAGTTTGTCTGGCCGTATTGAGGGGTCTGGTGAACTGCCTTGACGGCATCGAGTTTTCTTGACCAGACCAAGCATTTTGCAACACTGTAGATTACCATCTCTATGCATTCTCATGCCCATTAATAAATTCTGATTAGCAAATGATATCCATGCCGATGTTCTGTCTTGAATTGATGTAGAGGTCGAAACGAGTATTGAGTGACCTCGCCCACACACCGTATCGGGCAATCACAGAAGTGGAAGTGTAAGCTGTCACCAAAAAATGACGCTTCGTCGGTGAATACTTGTAGGATCTGTTTTTAAATAATTAGCCGAGTAGCAAATATCGGGGTAAATCCTCCGCATTAGCGCGTTTGGCCTGGCAACTAACTGCGGGGTGATGGCATGGTTATGGCTACATGGCAGTGGTTCCCGCAACGAAAGTTTTACGTCTCGCCTCTGATAACTGCGGCAGAACCTATGTTTTGAATTTCAACAACTGGAATAGTCGCATCCTCTCTTGTCTGCTCCAGAAGTTCGTCCAACTGATCCTGGCTCATCGGCGTGTTATCTTCTTCTACTTCGGGAACCGGGTCCTCTCTGACGATTTGTTCTGCCATAGCGAATAGAATATATTGCGAACAGAATAATAGTGAATACACCCGCACACAATCCAATAAAAAGCCGGAATGGGGTACCTAACACCCCCTGGGGCAGCGACCTCAGAAGCCCGCCCATAAGGCGGGAATATGTGCCACGGCGCGCGTTGCGGCAGACGTGAAATTCAGAACTCCGCCTTTGCCACTGTCGTGCTTGAGTAATCAATGAACATTATTCCTCATGTTCAAGCGCTAATATTTTGCACTCCAAACTCAATAATGTGTAAGCAAGACCTGTTACACTACCGGATGAGTCCAAATGCGAAAAACTCTTTCCCTTTTGCTTTCAGATGACGTGATTGCGATTAATGTGACCATTCCCTCTTTATTTGGGTGTACGTCATCTTCCTTCATTTGCAGTGACGATGTAGAGTGCTTCGCTTTACCGCACAGTTGACCGATATTTTCTACTCGATATACATGTGGTTTTTAATTGAATTTCTGTACAACTACGTGCTAATCCTGCTATTCTTGGAAGTTTGGTCTGTGTTCTTGTTGATTATTTACACTTTAATAGCATATTCGTTCTTCAAACGATTTCCACAGTACGGTTCTGGCTTCGCACATTGTGTTTCTTTGTTAATGACAGGGTGAGCTATCGTTCAAACAGGTTGTTGGTATAAATAAGCTAACGCTTTACTTTCAGTTCGTTGCTTTTCGAACTTGTCGGTCTCTATAATAGCGTACTTTATGATAACTCATCAGGTGAGATTCAGCTTTTTTGTTTCCATTCCGCTCAATTCCCAGGCCTCTGAATATCAACCCCTATGGGCAACTCTCATGCTTATTTTCGCGCGGAAATTCCCTACAATATCCTTTTGTGTACAAATATGTAAATGTTTTCATTCATTCACTTTTATTAGACAGAAAATTCATTGAACTCTGTGAAAAGCTCCTTCGACATATCCTTTTGTGGATGTTTTCGGTTGGGAAACGAAAATAAAAGGATGAAACTTATTCTTCCGGGATTTTTCATAAGCGTTTCATGGTGAACGGGAATGAACCCTCAGAAAACGGTTGCGTCACCGCAGTAACCTATCGTGACTCAAACTGCTCATTTATTTGAAATCATTCATAATCAGATAAAGGAATTCACTTTGTGAAATGGCACTTCCACAAATCTTATTTGTCTCTCGCGTATTTCCCTTGTTTTCAGACTCATTTCAACTGTCTTCGAGGCTGTTTACGACGAAGGTGTCTCGCAATTTGAGTTGGTTTGGTCCATTGTGGAAACTGAATCCAGCCTCCGTTGTTGCACATTTGGCTGGAAAGGTTCTGGTCTCGATTTCTGGAGTTGTAAGTTTCCTTTCATTGAATGTAGTGGGATGACAGCGGCGTGTTAGTATTTTGGCACACTTTGATGTCCTAATCCTTGTTGGTTGGCCAAATGATTCAGATAATGATGGAAAATGAATTATAGTAGTCATTTTTTGCACGTACAAAGCGTTTGAAAGCAGTCTCGCATTTCCCACTTTGAAGATAGCGCTTTTCCGGGACGTGATGATCGTTTCAAAGTATTGTCAGACGTTAATGAATGGGTTTTTGAAGTACGCTGGAGAGCTTGCAACCAGTACTATGGTTTTCTTCGTTTCAGCGGTTGCGCAAAAAGCGTGGTTCCATTTCCCGAGCGGACTGGTTGTACCACGAAAGGACAAGGGACAAGACTTAGGAGGGTCCCTTCACTCATATTGTTCTTAACATTGTTTCGAATTGAACATTATCGTTTCATGCAAATATCACCGAATGCCTAGAGTTAAAGCATGGCAAGGGTTTGGGTATGTAATCTTTAGTTAGGCTGTTGGCTGTTGTTGGACTGCCCTCCAAGAACATCTCATCGTTTCGAAGAAAAGTTAGAACTTTGATTGAAGCCTCACTTTTCAGCCTACTAAATCATAGTTCATCGTAGGGCATCAATTTACAAATTTGAAAACCCTTCAATAGTTCAAAAATCTCACGATTGAGCGCACATGTGATTGGATTTTAAAAAAAGGATCTGATATAATGAGTACTTTTTGCAGTGTGGCAGGTCCGTATCGGCTTATGTCAGTGGAGTGTTCCATGACACGACTTGGTGCCATGGGATCATTTCCCTTCTATTCACTATTTGTGTCATGGTTATCGGTTTGTTCATTGTAGCAAGGTATCAGATACACNTTGGCATACGAGGATTCACATTGTCGCGGTAAATCCTTTCTCGTTTGAAGTGTTCAGTGATATTAGGCGTTTTATATGATAAAGCTTCTTCCAGCCAATGGGCACAACCCAGTATTCCCAGCATTGCCCCTCGCGGATATGGCACTGAAGCATCTTAGGAGTTATGTTTGCTCTGACACACTTCAAGCTGTAGGATTACAATGTCCGTTGAGGTTGGTTTGTCTGAAGAAATGCCGCGTGACTGATCACAATTGCAGTTCTTCGTGTATGCAGTATGACACTAAAGATTTCAACGAAATGGAAGCTTGAAAGTAACCTCGCCTTCCTGTTTTCAAAACCTCTATTTGACACCCTTCTTTTCCTGTCCTCCTTGCACTTATCCAAATTACATATACCAATGAAGAGTGATTCCATCTTTTGGCTTTGCTCAACGTTACCGGCAGTTTCATGAGGGGCGGGCTATTGCATATATTTTAGAATGTAGGTTAGGTGTCTGTTATGAGTAAAAGCCGGTGGAAAAGAGTTATATTTTCAATGCTTAAACTCCTCACTGCTTATGCCACTTCTCCCTTTCCGATATGGTTTCTTCTTTTTTTCAGTTATGATGCTGATCGCTAATGTCACTTCAACCCCTACGTGTCACAAGAACAAAACGCAAAAGCAGAGGTCTGAGTTATCATGTCTACGACAGAATTATTACAGAAGCTTCTCTGCGTACTACTACAGAAGCTTTTCAGTTGTTGTGATTACGACTAACTGCTGGCTTTGCCTTGCACTGGCGATTATTTCCATGATGCTTGTGGTGTGCTGCTAAGATACATCGCCAACGGGTTACGTGATTGTGATTTAGGATGATTTGTTGAGAACTGGTTTGTGTAACTATCTATAAGTGTATAGTAATTACATGTGTACATACGTGATAAAGGTTTTCGGGCTTGTCCTTCATCCAGAATTAGCACATTATTTATTATGTTCCGATATTTAACCAGATTGACGGTACGATGTAGTTTCTGTCATCGCTCATTTCGCAGAGTTTATTGTGAAAAGTTGAAGTGTCGCGTCGCATGCTCATAGCTGCACATCGTGTTTGTCATGTTCTAAAGCTTTCTTCCGTAAGGTATTGGTAAGATGATTTCGGTTCATACGATTAGAAAAGCAGTATCAGACTTGATCATCCACATATGTATATTCATGAATACACGTGTACATCTAATATTTGAAATTGCATGAATTTTACTACCCTGAAACAGGCACACAAACGCAGAGGTAATACTAGTTAAACGGGACTATTTGCTGTGCTTATCTCAATTTGTAAACTTGGTTGCTCGATCTAGTTGGTTGCGTTCATACTAGAGGCGTGGATTCCGGCTTCGGTGTACGAACCCTAGACCGATCTTTTGAAGTCGGCGATTTTCTTGCATCAAATATTTTTCGAGCGTCGAGAATGGATGTTTTTACTCGCTCTTTTTCGTGCTAGTTTTGTTGTTTGGAATGATGTTAATACTATTAATAATAGTAGCTTAATATAATGCTGTGTGACTGACGGTTGCCATGTGACTCACTGCAAGATTCAGTGCTTCTAATTTGTTGCTTTTTCGCCTAGCATGAACTAATGCCTCGAAAAGGCGTTAAATACCACGCTACCACAGAGTCATCGACATACGCGACAGCAGACAATTTCTCAGGCTATAGTCGGCGTTGTAGTATGAATGCAGCCACTGAAAATTAGAGGGTGCTCGGAAGTCGCCATCACCGCGCACGGCTTTTTTGTCATTTCTGCCTGTTTCAATATCATAGTGTTGTGTAGGTGTTCGCTGGAAGATTATTTGCAAGTACAAGTTTTCCAAATGTCCGAACACTTCAAGTGATTCAGGGCAAGTGAATTCCAAAAATTCTGTCCCTGATGTTTAGGCTTTGCTGGAGTTATGAGAAGGCGTTCGTGCTTCCGATCTTTTTTTACATATTTCTGAAAACATTAGTGCAGGATGTTTCATAGTGGCCATGTCGGGAATTCATCGTAAGCTCGAGTTCTGCTCGACTGAATGCAGTTGCTTTTCGACGAATATTTTCCGCTCCCCATGTGTGAAGGTTTACGGTACTAATTGTGGCCAATCATATGGGGCTTTGGGGAGCTTATGATACCTGATTCTTTCTGTATTCGCTTGTTAGCAAGATACTATTAACCCTTCCGGTTTTTTGTTATTGTACACAGGATAGGTTTCAACATTAGTTCAATGTTCATTAGCGAGTCCGAATTGGTTTTCGTGCGGCCCGGTTGGCCTAGACCTCAATGCTGTTTGATATGACGATCACCGACCATGATACGAGTAGGTATGCCTGCGTTATATTACCTGTCATTGCCTGCTTTCACATTTGTGCCTTTCTTATAACGAGAACGATAAATGTTAGAAGCTTAAGTCGGCGAATATGCTATTTACTTCGACTTTATAACCTCTTTGAAATTTTCAGTATTTTATTTTACCCCATTGACGACCGCGTGGCCCGCCAGCGAGCCACGCCATATCGTGCTCCTGTAGTATTTATGTTATTTATCAAGTGTTCTTATAATTTTTTTCATGTTTTCAAGTATCAGCTGAGCTCAGCGTTCTAGAGAATCTCGAGACATGTGGTCCAGAATCAGTCATTTCCAGCTACAGTTATAAGAGAAATCGAAAGTTAATGTAAGGACAGTATAAGAGGCGCGATCGCCCATGGGATAAATGGCATTTTCAGTCTTTTCTCGTCGTGAATATAGGGAAATACCGAGAACCAACGTTAGGTGTATGTCACTGAAGAATAAAATCCTATCTAGTTTTGGAATATAGTAGTCCTAAGGGTATATATTTCCTAAAATAACATTTCTATTTGTGCAACACTCGAATTTTCGTAAGGTTTAGGAAAAGGGAAGTGTCGACATTTCATTGCTTGCTTCATTTGCTTTCCTTGCTTAACACAACTGCCCATGGCTGCCGCGTTGATGATATAGACTGTACTAAATACATTTAAACAGGAATCTTCTCGGGCCCATGTGATTCCTGAATGCATCTATTTTAGGGATCGGTACTCACTACTCACCTTGTTATCTGCGAGGACTATGGCTAGCTCGGCCCAAATTATTGGTGGACGTGCGAAATTAAACGATGGAAATGAAATACCAATGATTGGTCTAGGTATCTCACGCATCAACGGTCAAGTATGCAGAACTCACTCTTAGTGTTGTTGCCTGAATGTTGTTGTGTCGTTCATACAATAAATTCAGGAGAGCCTCAGCAATTCAGTTAAAGCAGCACTTGAATCTGGCTATAGACTCTTTGATACAGCTGAGTTGTATGGAAATGAAGCTGAGCTAGGAGCCGCGTTGGAGGTAAGCTTTTTTCACTTCATGGCACAGGCAGCTGCTTCACCGTGAAATTGAGCACCGCAGCTTCTGGATAACAGGACGAACAGAATGATGCTACTGCTCATTGTTCCACTGTTAGGTCTTTTTTGGCCTACGCCGTCCCCTTCCCGCGAAAAGCCAGCTGGACCATTCTTCTTCTCAGAACAAACGATACATTTCTAAATACGAGATTTTCCTGTAAGTGGTACAGCCAAGAACTAGAGCTGTGATAGAAAGAGTGATGTTAATGGCATTCAGTTTGTCGAGACGTTCACGCTTATGATCATGAAGTGTTGATAAGATGCTCTTGATTTTAACTATAATTCCCGATAAGGATCTAATTTCGTCACTTATCGGATCTATTGCGCAGCCACCTTTGTGAGTGAAAAAAAGATCTCAGCTGAGCCGAAGCGTTGAGTGATGTAGTGTTTACTAATGTTGGCGGCTGGTGAGACTGGTGGAGAGGTGCCCGAATTCCCACAACCGGCAAATGTTTCTCGGCAGTTACTGTAGTTGCCCTTTCATCCACTCTTATCATCAAGGCTATACTGTGAGTATACGTTGGCCCACGGACGCACCAAAAGACACATAGTGAATTATGTAAGTGGGACCAGTCTGATTGCTTGCACCGGTTTCCCCCCAACCTTCAGATAGTCGAAATGCTCGGTTGGCCCTCCATTGCTCTTTCTGAAGAAATGGTACAATTCTTTTCAGAAATATGGATAATGAATCCACCCAGCTACGCAAGCGTTCATTTTTGACACGAAGCTTACGTTTACGAAATTTCCATCTGTTGCCCATAGCCTTAATAACGTACTTCTATTGAGGTTTGAATGCTTCCATTTACTGGGTCTACTTGCGTATCGACTTTTCCACAACTGAGCAACCAGACAGTCGACGTTTTAAATGAATGTCTATTGGGATAACGCCACAATCAGTGTCCTTCTTAATTCCTTAATTCTGAAAGCACAGTTCGCGATAATTCTGAGTATCCATTTTGAGTCGAAAAGAGGAAGCGTTAACGTAGTGTAGTGCATCGGCGATGAGAAAGCGAGTGAACGCCTAGGCTTTCCCGAGGTGAAAACAGATAGTGCGGCCTCTAATACACCGCTGAGACTCGTCCGCTGCGGGGTGTGGCATTCACACAATACAATGCGTGTCCCCCTATTGTGCCCTATCGAGGATGTTTCTCAACCTGACATCGGCATGTGTGGTGTCAGGAGGAGCCTCCAATTCATCCTATGGGGTAATCTCAACAACCATTTTTATCGTAAACTGTGCCTCTAATTGTAAGCTAAAAGCCATGGACCGAAATTCTCAAATTATTTATGGTCGGAAAGGTTTGTGGCAATTTACATCAAAATTACGACCACACCACAGCACTTATAACTCATTTTTTAAAATCGCACTCTACCATCCCCTCTGATCCTATGGAGCACATCGAAATTTCAAAGCTACAGCGTATATATCGAAGGGGTTGTGAACTAAAAGGCTATTATAATGGCTGGTCAGCCTTTATCAGCTGTTATCATTCTCTTCAATCCGTTGTCTGCTAGCTGTCACACTCTTCATCACATACTGATGTTGCAATGCTCGCTGTCATGCGGAATGGGGGACTGATCTACTAGCTATTATCAGACCTTATCACTTGCTATCAGTTTCTCTTACCAAGCATCCACGATCCCTTCAATCCCACATCATCCACTCACTGTTTGTAGGGAAGGTATAATCGACTCAGTGGCTTCTATTGCTCCTCAACAGCCCTTATCAGTTGTTATCAGCTCTTGTCACCAACCATCTAAGGTCACTACACATCCTACTTCGCCTAAAAAAGTGCTAAAGGTTTCAATGTTAATACGAAGAGCGTAACGATTACTTTGACTCCTGCTCATTGAGGCTCAGGATCAGTACTTCCCAGTTGTTATCACTATCACAGTGTTATCACTTCATAGTCTTCCCATCCTGTCGCCTGTATCCCTTCTAAATTTGAATTTGAAAGCTTCAGTCTCAGGGGAGTAGGAGTTGTGAATTCCCGATCAAACACAAGTATGAAAAGCAAGCAAACAAATAGACGTCCATATTTACAAACCAACAAACACACTTAAGGAATATACAAAGCATGATAGCTGGTTATGTTCGAGCATATTTTTTGCGGTGGTTCAATTTAAAATAATACATCCTTTTTTTTTTTTGAGGAGTATCTGCCAAAAAATGGTCTGAAGCGAGAAGATATTTTCATAACAACAAAAGTACAAACAAAAGATGGAGACGCCACCAAATGGGCAGAAGAAAGTATCATGGGATCGCTGAAAAGACTTAGGACCAAGTAAGTTATGCTCTTTTGTAATCATCAGTGGTATAGTACCATTTTGGATAGCAATGGAACGATAGGATGCTTGGGATTACGTGAAAGCCGGTTCATTTTCTTTTACCTTTTCGAAGCCTGTCATTGCTATCTGCTTCCCAAGCTGCAGTTGATGAAGACAACAATTAAGGTACCTCGACATGGTCTTGCTTCACTTCCCCAGAGATCGATGGACTGGTACTGATGATGCGTATGAAATCAATAAGAAAGGCAGAAGAGAGGTTTGGCAGAAGATGGAGCAGTTGAAAGGTTGGTTAACGTGTGAATTTAGTTTTCGGAGATAGCCTTACTGGCACCACCGTACATTTACATATGATATAAAGAGCAAGGGGCGGAGGTGGTGTAGTGGCAAGTGGCGCACTATATCACACGCACGGCCAGGGGTCCGAATCCCGATCGATCGATGATCGATGCCTGCCTAGGCCAACCAAGTCTTCCATCCCTCCGGGGTTGGTTAATTGGTACCGGACTCGTCTGGGAGGTTAAAGCACTGGCTTGTACATCGGCTGGCCACCGCAAGTCATTGTAAAGACCACATACCCACTGATTATGCCACTACGATTCTGAATGGAAGTTGAGTGCGGGGCGTATCCCTCAGACGGGATTGATTAACACCAAAAACTTTATCCTTTTTATAAAGAGCAAGATTACCTCGTTCCTTATTATGGGAGCAACTATTACTCACCATAATCTGCAAATGTAGGTCGATTAATTGAGGCACTTGTCACCTACTCCGCTATTCATTTTTATGGGCGCAAGACCTCTACGCTTTTTCGATAAATTCCGCCCCCGAAGTCTAATCAACATTAGCGAGTATCGGAAGTAGTTCTGTTGTTTCACTTTCTGCTAACCATTGTATTTCAGATCGGGGCCTTATAAAATCAATAGGAGTGTCCAATTATGAGGTGTATCATCTGGTGGAACTTCTTGAATATGCAGTGGTTGTTTTTATGATCTAACTTTATCTACGTCAACCATTATTTGGCTACTTTTTCTTTCAGCACAAGCCCGCAGTAAATCAAGTTGAGTTTCATCCTTATTTCACTCGGCGGACTCTTCTTCATTTCTGTGCACAACACCGAATATTTGTGCAGGTAATACAACTGCACACCATAGTAGCTTCTTTCACTCAAGCATGGGTCTGATCAGCGTCGTGGGTCCTTACTTGGTCGACAGGCCAGCCCAGTACAAAAGCACATTGCGAAGACTATTCGGAAACTGTCATTCTTGTAACATTCTGTACGAGTTTTAGGCGTTTTCTTCACTCTTATGGGGGAACCAAGAAATCTTGAATGAACCCGTAGTTAAACAACTGGCTGAGAAGTTTGCTGTTTCACCGCAGGTACTGTTTTCTAGTTTTCGACCCTTTTGTGATCGTGTTCTCATTTCAAAAACTTTTTTCAGACGATTTTGTACGCTTTCGCCGTACGATCTGGAGTTGGAATAATTCCAAAATCCGTTACTCCTGCAAGGATACACGACAATCTAGTGAAAGTAAGCCTTCAAATTGGATTTAGATTCAATGAGAATTACATTGTCATTGATGAATAAGCATCTCAGGTAGCGGCAACACCTCTTTCACAAGACGAATTGAAATCATTGAGAGAGCTCGATCGGAATGCTGCATTCTGTCCAAGATGTTTCCCCTGGAGGTGTCTGTGAAAGGCTATTGCGTCTTGCAAGAATAGTTTTGAACTGCTTCTAACCTCGCCCTCGACAATGCAACACTAAGCGGCAGCTCACATAACGTGTCTGTGATATTTACTCATTATTCTGTAGATCTGCGTCTATTGTTTTTGTTTACAAAGCATGTGCGAACTAGAGTACTTGGTGCATTTGATTTTTGTTGCATTGCAAATGTAGCATTTGAATAAAAAAAAAATCAATATTTTCGCATTTCTGTGATTACTGGACTTTTCCCACTCTCGTACTCCGAGGGAAGGTAATGTAGTGCTAATCGGCGCACGAACACACGTATGCTGCGGAGATCGGTTACGGATTGATACCAGCCCAGACCAACCAAGCCTTTCCTCTCTGCAGGGTAACTTCATTGGTACCAAACCCATTCAGGAGGATAAAGGCACTTACTCGTGCATCGACTGACCACCGCAAGCCATTGTGAAGCCAAAACGCGATTTCATATGGAAATCGAGTGCGAGGGTGTATCCCAAACGATGTAGGCCTAAAGAATTGGACCGTTAGATTAGTGCTTAATTTTTTCCACTGACGTCTATCAGTTAATGGGCAAATAGCCCGAAAATGTGAGGCCATTCTCGAACCCTATTATGGTGTGAACAAGGTGGAAAAATTTTCAGGGTCGCGATATTCAATAGTGAAGGCAACGGCAATGTTAGCATCAAAGGGAACAAATTCTAATTAGAATATTGTACTGGGCATCGTGACACCAACGGTCCCCACATGATGACTTAGGGGACGGCCTTATTGACACGACCCCGGCCGGCCTAAATGCCCCTCCACCAAAATAGGCGGTCGATCAGGTTTGCGAGTTCAATGGCTCAATATCCCGGATGGTTAATTTTCGGTGTTTATGGCGACAATCACCTTTTGGATAACCCTTCGCCTCGTCGCACCGTCTGAGACGACATCTTGTCTTAACCTCCACCGCTAGCCAATTGAGCTCACACCTGCTTTTATAAAGTGAGCAGAGATTTCCTGGTGGTTAAGAGTGTAGGTTCATATCTGCACTTGGAACACGACTTCGATTTTTGTTGAGGCAAAACCTTGCACGCGAAAAGCGCAAAAATGGTGTCAATGCTGGCGTCAGGTTCAGGTTGGCAAGCCGGATGATCAAGAAAGCTAATAGACCAATAGATTTCAGTGATGAGGCTTTGGCATCGCCCGGAATTGGTGTAGAGGACCGACGCCCATGTCCTTGGGACGTCATGCAAGGCTGTCGAAGAGTGATCGACGTCGGCCGAAACTGTTCGTTTGGACTGGGACTTATCGAAGGATAGGTCCTTCGGACCTGTTACTCGATGTGTAGCGGGTTAGTATAGTAGTATACACAGTATATACA